TGCTGCGCTTGATCGTTTAGACATTGTGATTGAGCCAGGAAAAGGTGAAACATCTGCATGATCAGAGGAGGAGGTGTCGCAGGGCAAGACTGGTGATGTCACTCAAAGTCTCAGGTCTCTTTTGACACTGGGACTGGTGCTTGTGTCTCCACACCCACAAATCAATTCAATTTTAGCTCTATTGTCCCCTAGGGGTAATTTGTTTTACGGCACAGTCAAACAAAACACAATGAAATCAGGTTCTCTCACGAGTCACACGAGTGCCCTTGGTCCGAGTCCAGGCACAATCGCATACTGTACAACACATTTGTGCCATGACTTCTGACTGGCACAGCTTTCGATGGTGAAGGGCGCTCTGAGGAACTTGGAAAGGAAGAATGGAACAAGTTTCAAAGTGTAACATGTAACATGACACAGCTCAACGACAGCACTCCCCAGAGTCTCACTAACCCGGGGGCACTAATCTTTTTGCACCAAGAGCACATGGAGCAGGTGATCGACGGAGTGCCTGCGTTAGGTCATGGGCAGGCTTTGTGCTTTTCGGTGTTCAAAATTTGAATTCACGCACAATTCTGTAACAAAATCCTCATTTTGGAAAGTTGTTTTGTTCGAGCAGACTTTGATTCGTGTAAGGGTCTCGCCAGATGTTGGGGAGCTCTTTTATTGAAAGCGATAACTGCTGAGTAATTCGCTCTTTATTACTGGTGTGGCTTAATGGGGAAATTAAAGCTGCCTTGAAATCACTTCTTTTAACCACAGCGGGGGAAAACGTGTCTTTTCAGGCACTGCAAGAAGGAGAGCACGTTACAAAATACTGGTATTTTCTAAAGAATATCTTACTAGCAAGCACTGCAGGTGCGTTATTAGATTTAAAACTCAGCCTCAGCCTATTGATGTGTGCAAACAAACTATCTGAACGTCATGGTTTGCATGTGTCAAAGATGTGGAGAAGCTGCTGTTTGAATAGCCCCAGTTGTACGCGTCCCTGTTCACTCACCTAGCTGATGTGTTCATCAGCAGTACAACTTGGAGACCTGTAGGTGGACTAACCATCAAAAACCACTGTTGGTACAAAAGGCCATTAGCTTTATCTCTCATGGAGAGGGGCTGAGCAAGTACAAGGAAGCTCAGGGCAGCACCCTGCAAGTCAAAGGGGCCGGAAGTGAGAATCTCCTGATAACAAGACTCCTTTGCCTCCATCGCCCCCCTGCCCTGGTATCCTTTAAAAATGCGACTCAATTGAAGAGAGAGAAGAGACTGTAGCAGTAGAAACCCTTGCCAGAATGCCGAACCCAAATCCAGGTGCACATCTTCAATCGCAAGTCCGTGTGCCCAGATCGCCTCAATGGCTGCCTCTGAGCACCCCTAAACCACGTCAGTGTGAGCCAAGTGCTGTCTTGCGGGAGCGGACTTCACTCTCCTGGGATTTTACGGGTCTCTTGTCTTTTGCTTCAGATGGTGGGAAAACAGGAATCTAGTGATCAAGAGTGTATGACCTCCAGTCTTAAAATAATCTGTTTACTTAAGACAGCTGCCAAGGAATTTTTTTCGGAAGACCGAAAAAATGTGGCCGAGGAGGGGGGGGGGTTGGAGAGGGAGGGGGGATGGGGAAGGAGGAAAAGAGAGGGGGGAGGAGAGGATGGGGAACCAAGGGGGAGGGGTAAAAGTTTTTTTTTTCCTGCCTCCTCTCTGAAGGGAGAGGGAGAGTTCCTGTACAGGTTGCAAATGACAGAGCGAGAGAACGAGAGGGGCCAAAGGTCAGGGAGGCTAGTCCTCTGAACTATTCGTCACAGCTCGGCTGAAAACGGTGAGAAACGAGAGGGGGCAAAAAAGACGTGCAAATTTCCGCAGCTCTGGGACAAATTAACGGTGGATCAGAGGGACCCTGGCTTAAAGTTTCTGAGCTCTGGGAATACGATAAGACATTTCAGCAAGCAGGGGACAAGGGCACAACCTGAAACCTGCTGACAGCAGATTCTGAACCCACACCAGAAAACCCAGCGCTGCACGCAGGGCTAATGACTAATTAATCATTACAAATTCAGTGTGGCGCCGTGAACAAATCAATCAGCAGGAGGAAAAAGGGCAAAGTCTGAAAAACTATCAGTTTTTCTGTAATTTGACTGGATCCTAATCAGTGAAGCGCCACACAAATTAATGAGACAGAGGAAAAACGTTAGATAGGAGATGAGCTCCAGATTACTGGTTTAACTTGCTGAAGACATGCATGTTTCTTAAAATGCCCTCTGAAACTCGGTGTGCAAAAGTAAAATCATTACTCTTTTTACTTCCTCAATGGGTCTGCTCTGACAAAGTAGGCCAATAGCACAGTAGGCCCTTTGATTCATATTCCAGAATTTCAAAACCACTTTTTCACACTAATATTGAGATGTATTTAGTTTTAGATCCTTATTGGAGTCCCAGTCCACTGCAACAGCTTGTGCAAGATAAGCTGAAATACTAAATTTCAATTTAAGAATCATGCTCAGTGAACAAAATGCACCTAGCTTTGATCGTTTGCTTGCCTGATCGTGCTAGAAACACGCAGAGCCGTGCAGGGAATTAAAAAGACATAGAACAAAGGAGCCATTCGGGAACATTTTGCACCATTTCGGTCAGGCCAGAGCTGAGAGATGAGACAATGGACTGTTCACTCACAGACACCTTCCAAAGGGAGACAAATGCCAAAGGAATGTTGAATCATGCATCTCATCAAGAACGCAGTGTGGTTTGGTTCTTGGTTTGCTAAGAGATGTATTGCATGCCACGCTTGGTCCACTCACAGTTAACCTCATTTGTCCTCTGCTAGAAACCTATTTCTGGAAGAAATATCAGCTGTTTCTCACTAATGCTATTGCTCCACAGTTTATCAGCAAAGACTGTATTTTAAAGTGGTTCTTGGTGCAGTACTGTACTAAGCCATTCTTTCCTGCACAATGGCTGACCTTAATGCTCCTGGCTTTCTCCTGCTTGGTCATGTTTACATACTAAATGTCAGCTTGAATTTCTTTCTTCCAAACAGTGCTTTGAAAGCAAACACAAAAGGGTAAAAAAGGGTTTGCCCAACCTGAACTCGCTAATTTGTGTCTCTGGATAAGAATGCAACGCCCTCACTGAAAGTATGTTTCAGACTAGAGGTCACAGAACTCCTCAGGGCCCACAGATTCTATCTGGGGGGTCCCACAGTATAAAATCAATCACCCTACACAGTGGAATCGTTCCATCAGCCAGCAGCACTGCTTTCAGTACTGCATAATTACATATATAATTATACATTTATAAATAATAACAGCTTCATTCTAATAATTCCAGACTTCTGTCTTATTTTGTGTTTCATCTGTATGACCCTTCATTTTTGAAAAGGAGTCTGTGTGCCATAAAAACTCAAAAGTCCCCCCAGACTTGGAAAATGAAATCCAGGCTGACCAGTTCTGTGTGCTGTTTGTCGGACCCTCTACACACCTTGTCTATGCTTCATTATGTGACAACATCCACGCTTACCATCCTCCCCAGAAAGCAAAAGCTTTGGTCACTGTGAAAAGCTCCGTGCAACTGTCCCCAGTTGCACAGTGCCCTTTTGGCACAACTGCATAGATGGTGCTTTTCACACCTCTGGTAACCGTGTCACACAGGCACACCCTGTCTTTCTGCTTCCCTGCTCGCCTGAGTCATCCCCCCTCCCTCTGGGCTGACAATCCAGCCTGACTCCTCTACTCCGTGGGCTCTCTCCCCCCAGCTGTCACCAGCCTCTGTCTCCCACACTCTCTGCCCCTGGGGCTTTGTTTGCGAAACGCCTGGGGCAACTCCTGCGTCTCGGGGGGGACGCCAGCTTTTGGGGCCTGCCCCGCGCCGATTTGCCACAAAGGCAAGGGGCCCTTTGCCCGCGTCTCGCCTTCGCACCCGTGAGGTCGGCAGGATTAAAGCCAAGCCGGCCTCTCGTCAACGACCTTTCCCGAGAGAAACAGGAATCGGTGAAAGGAAAGGGAGTCAGAGGCCCGAGAGCTTGCTCTCGTGCGACGGCACGGTCGCGAAGGGCCGTGCCGGATTCGTTTCCACGGCGATCTCCACCCCTTTCTTTATCTCCTGCCGCCACCTCCTCTCAACCTACGATCTCCCAGCCATGGAGGCAGACGCTCCGAGCCGCTGTGTGCTCAGATAGAGGGAGACGTCTGCGGGACTGTCCGTGTGTTTGAAGGGAGAGGAGGAGGCAGTGAGTGTGGAAGAAGGTCCAGACAGTCTGTGGGCTCCGGCTGGGTTTCCGAGGCCGGGTGTGGATCGGCACGTGTGTGTGTGTGTGTGTGCATAAGGACCACTGACGAAGCTGTAACCCCGGTGGCTTTTTTTAGCTCGTGGTTTTTAGCACAGACGGGCGTGGACGGCAGTCCTCTCCCTCAGAGGTAGTGACGCGAGTGGTCTGCTCAGAGTGTGTTTCAGCATGAAAGGCAAAATCCCCTACTACACAGCGGCCCTTTTAACCCTACTGGTCTAGACGGAAGAGCGCCACCTACTGGTCCAGGAACACCACTTACAGCAGCGGCCTGGTTTTCCTTAGAGGTCTCCCACCCCGCCACTGAGCAGGCCCAGCTTTGCTCAGCTCCTGAGATCTGCCCGGATCAGGGTAGGTGGAGATAACATGAGAATGTGCCAGAGATTGAGGTCCCTCAACCTCTTTTTTCTTTGTTTTTGTAATTATTAACTAACAGGGCATCAACAACCTTAATATGTTATAAAATACATCACAGGTCTATATACCTCTTTATAAAAAGGCAACAGCTGGTCCAGGCGAGGGGTATCACACTTAAATTTTACATTTAACTTAAACTCAGTATAAATAAGCCTGTGTATTCAACATCAAACCAATGGCTATGAGTTTCAAGCGGTAGCAGAGGAAGCCAAGTCTGGCACATCACAATGGTAAGCAGAGTGATGCCCAGAATCCAGGAAGAACTCCTTCTGCCCGGGCGCAGACAGGAAATGACACAGGAAACGGCCTCACTCACCTGCTGGGTCCGTTGGCTGTGTGGGTGGGCTGGGTCAGTGTCACCTCCAGTGGGCTCTGGCGAAAGAAAGGCAGAGTAACGCGTTTAGGCAACAGAAGAACAGTCTTTGTTCTTTAAAAAAACAAAACACAGCACAGTGGAAATTCATTTGCCCTTATTCCCTTGTGCCTAGATCTGTGATGCACTATAAAAGACAGTAAGAGAGTACCAGCGAAGGCCTCTTCCCTGCAGCGAAGTGCTCATCTTCCCATGGCCCAGCTTATCCAGAAAAAAAAAGGAACTTCCAAGCTAGCAACATATATTTTTTTTAGGTTTGCTGTAAGGTTATTCCTGAACCTGCGGCAACTCTTCTGATGTCTCACCATTTAATACAAAAAGCCATTCTGAGCTGGTCATCAACCGCAATGAAACAGAAGACCGGGTTGCGCCCTCTCCATCACAATCAGCTTTTTTTTCCAAAAATAAAAGTCTCTCTCTCACAGTTTCTATCCACTATCCACAGCTTCATCCAATTCAGGGTCACAGGGGAGTTAGAGGCAGTGGAAGCGGGGTACACCCTGAACGGGACCCCAGTCCATCACAGGCCAGACACAGACACACATACAGGGTCAATTTTCTCAAAAGCCAATACATCTACTCAAACACACGGAGAACACACTGTACAAACTCTACTTAGGACAGCATCCCAGGTCCGGAACTGAACCCAGACCCCCGAGATGTCATGCTGACCACTGACGGGTCTATAAACTGGAGCTTTGACAAGTGGAAACAGTTACCTGAAAAAAAAAGTTGAACCCAAGTGAAATGTTTTCCTGCTCTTTGAAAACACTTTTGTTTGGAGTCCGAAGCAAAGTATCTTCTTGTACAACAGGCTTTTGCATTCCTTAATAATGGCAATACAATTTCACCTAATACAGTACACCTACTGTATCTGCACACATTCTTGTCTAGATACTACAAACTACTACACACTGTACTAATAAATATTAAAAAGCTCTTTAAGTTTAAGTTTAAAGTGGCACTGTATGCTTTTCGGGGGAGGACAGGGGACAGAATGTTCTTGGTTTGGCTGCAGTTAAGGATTTTGTGATACCTGAGGGCCACATCTGCTTGTTGACTCACTGAACGTTTTGGAGGTTCAAGGCTCGTTACTGATCATTTCAATTTCATTTCCTTTCTGTCAGCCCTCTATGACTCTGATGTCATACAACCTTGTGTTAACGACAGCCAGGAATCCGAATTTGAAGCTGTTTAAAGTGCAGCTGGGACTAATCTGAGATCACAGTGTTTTGGCCTCTTGAAACATTTTTCCCTCGTGTGGTTCCAGACGTTTTTAAATATTTCATGCAATTTTTTCACTGTGCGCTAGTTTTAGCTCTATGCCTTATTTTAAATATTGAACAGTTACGTCTGGAGTGAATATAACTATATTTTTAGGTACATACCATATGAGGCAAGCTAGTCTTTTAAGCGCATTATATTAAGGTGAGTGTTAAGACTCAGTGCTGTACTCTTACCTTTTGGCTATGTGGAATTGCCAATTATCTTTTGTTGTGTACCCACCTATCTAAGTTTTGAAACATGAAACAGAAGACATGAGTTGAAACTAAGTAAAAGTTCATTTAAAATTGAGAATGGGAAGCAATTCTTTACCCAAACGGTTGTGGGAGTATGGCGCAAGCTACCCAGATACGTTGTTGAAGCTGGTACAGTACCTTAGTGTCTTTCTGGAACAGCTGGAAGAGATCCTCAGGTCAATGAGCCACTAACTACCAAATGGGCTGAATGCCTCCTCTCGCTTGGAACTTACTGAATGTTCTGACGTTGAAAGTGCCAATTGTTTCAAGACTCAGTTGTCTGGAAACAACCCCCACGCCCACTCAGGAGAGAATGTGACAGGCCGGCATGAAAACACCCACCTGAAGAGCCACTTTTTCAGCCTACCGGAAACTCCACTGGGGTGCTGGTGCTCATTGACAGAGCACCATGCCTCTCAATGGCACCACTGTGAGCCTGCAGCTGCCTGGAAAGTCACAGAAGTCACTCTTGCTCCAAGATCCTAGAGTGCAACTAACCCCACTCCCACTACTCATTAACTACCGGCCAGCGGATCCCAAACCCCAACCCACTTTGTGCACCAGTGCACAGGATCCTGATCACACCTGGCTAACAGACATACAGCACAACCTGAACTGCACAAGCCAGAGCCACTCAGGAGCTCCAGTCTGAACCTATGGGAAGCAGATGCCAGTTTTGGCCACGAGCAGTGCTGCTGATTATGGGAAATCTCCCTGGCAACTTACCAAAAACCTAAAAAAATTATATTGCCCCCTGGAAAGAGAGGCTGCAAATCTACAGCAAGTTCTTAAATTAGTCCAAATGCTGAGAAGTTCTCTTACTGCCTGAGGCTAGACAGACAAAGTAGTAGTAATCATACTAACCTTTATTTATATCTCATGGTGCAGCATCTCAAGACGCTGTACAATAAAACAATGAGTAGCTGTGTAAAACAGACTCCATCACTTTTACAGCCTCACCCTGAAGGCAGCTCTCCTTAGCCCTTCTGTTATCAGTAGGTGTGTTGTTCTTGATTTCACATGCATGTTAGTAATTAAAGTAACACCTTGACTTCCACGAGTTAAGATGTATCCTGTTGGCTTGTCAATACCATCCTGATTGCTTGTTACTTCCTGTGGGTTTTACAGAACACTTCTGGACTGAACCCAAGCATTCTTGTCAAAATAAATTGCATTTTTTGTTTAGTGTTTCTTTTCCCTGTTTTTATTTTGTTGTGATAAGTATTGTACTGTATTATTTTTTTTCCCATTTGGAATAGGGAAAAAAACAGCAAAACATACAGTGAATTGGAAAAAGCAAAGATTTTTTTGACACAGCCATTAGCCGAGTGATAGAAATCTTTGACCCATTTTTAAAACTTCTACTTTAAATGATCTGGTAAGCAAAATATCATTGTTGAGAAGAATTTTTCCCAAAGTATTTTACTGTCTCAGGCTGAACATCTGCTCATAAAACGCAGGTTTTAATCTCGCTCAGTAAATGCTATGGCCCAGAATAAAAAACTTTAAAATCCAAAGCAGCGTTGCGCTCACAAGAGCAAAACAGCAATTTCCCATCCCGACGAGGACATTCCAGAAGGAATTCAGGTCCCTGAGATGTTACTTTCAATGGTCCGCTAGGAGAACTACTGCTATCAAGTGGAACAAAGTTCTCACCACTTGAGCTGGAGTCAAGTCATCACTATTTGAGTGTTGTTTCCCAACATTTCAGGTCAAGTGCATTTCTGCTTAATACACAAAGAACAGGATAACCTTCCAGGACTACTGTGTTAACCTTGGGGACAGCTATTAGCTGTTATGTGGAAAAAAACAAGCAGACTTCCTGGATGCTCTTAAGAAAACTTAAGAGAATGGGCGAGTAGTGGGAGGTCATGCACATTAATGCCAGTGGTCAGGTTTGTTCAAATTTGCAAGTTTTACAGCCACCCAGTTTTGAATCGGCACATCGCCTTGGCTCGCAGAGCATGTGTGAGGATGGGCAGACAAGCTCCTACGACCTTCCCACATATCAGATCTCTCCATCTTTTAAAACGCCCCCAGCTCCTCGTCACCTCACTCACTGCCAGCCTGCAGACCCCCATCAAATCACAGCTTCATGGAAACGGCCTTTGCTCACCGATAACTGAAACAGCTAAGGAGGAAAAAAGAACTCGGCTCACAATATTGTAAAAGAACACGTTGCTACAAACACATATCATCGGCCAGCAAACTCCCTTGTGAGGATCACAGGTTAGGCCTCCTGTGCAGTTGGTACAGGAGTACCTATTCGATGGGTATTTGGATTCACTAGGCATCTTTGAATTGTTTTAAATGATAGCCGTTGCTACAGAAAATTTTGCAGATCATGCAGCAGTAACCTTTTGTGAAACTAGAAGAAAACACAGCTTTTGCATTGTTCTGTTAAACATCCGTGAAGTATTCTCAATGTTTCTTTGTTCCACGGTACAGTTTAATACATTGCCAGTGAAAAAGTGTTCTGTCTTTTCTGTAGTGGGGAGGGGGAACTCTGGGTTAATTCAAAGCCTTTTCAGATTCCAACTTAAAAAAAAAACTTTGTTGCAATCCCATCTTCACCCATGCTAAAAAACCCTGCAATCTTTCATGACACAAAAGCAGGATTGGCAGAAAACTGTTGATTGACGCTTAACTCCTTTAAAACACGATTACATCAACTGGAAAAGATCTACTGTTCAATCCATTGATCGCCTTCCAATAATAGATCTAAAAAATCGATAACCTAATAGCGCCTTACAGGAAAAAACACAGTGACTCAAAGCGGATTTAATTAACAATTAACTAAGGAAGGGAATGTAGACTGAATGTAGTCTCAAAATACTTTTGCAATCTGTAGTTTTTTTGTGAATGGGCCAGATTCTTAAAGAAGCAACGTTTTCTCTCTGCAGCTCCATGAATAACTCATTGCGTAGGATGGTTTTGGGACAGACTGTGCATATAAGGCCTGTCAGAGAAAAGTATCCCTGTTATGCTTGTGAATGTGAAGGACCAGCCTCACTTTGAGTCACTGATGTCACTCTCCAAAAAAACACAAGAATTCTGTATAAAACGACTTTGATTGGAGCAAACTTGGAAAATGCTTGTGGAAACAATTGGAATGTGTAGGCAAAGAGGTAGGAAATGTCATAATGGTTGGTTCTTTTTACTTCTGCTCTTCTCAAATTCCACCTCCAGAAAAAAAAAAGCTTTTAGTGTTACTTTATTTTTCTCTCTTAACCTGGCAACTGACAGAAAACAAAACACAGCGATGCCTGTCCCACAGGAGAATCGCGGTAGTGTGAAGTGTGAATCACCGAGAGTTGGGAATGTCTTGATATATCCATTCTGCGTCTCCCTTCCGGCCCGGTCTCCTGGGAAAATGAGTAACCCCAAGGAAAAGCAGGAGAAGAGCCAGTTATGACTCGAAAAAACACACACAAGGGCCAAAAACTGCGGCAGAAATTAAACTGAATGTAAATATAATGGCAACAACATTGTGTTGGGTGGATATAATTAATTTCAGATGATTCATAAGGCGTCCTTCACCAGCTCCGATTTCCAAGACGGTCACTTCTGATTTTGATTTCAAACAAGAACAAGTCTTAATCCAGCCTGGAGCATGTGAAAAAACAAGCCAAATCGAACTGGGGGAAAGATACGACCAGCATTTATTCAGATCTGATCCGAGAGCAGCTGTTGCATGAGAGAATCCATCCGTTCATTTTCTAACCACTTGTTCTGATTCAGGGAGCTGGAGCCTATCCCAGCAAGCAATGGGCTCAAGACCGGGCACAGACCGGACAGGATGCCAGTCCGTTGCAGGGTAGACACAGACACACACTCACGGCCAGGGACTACTTTCCCAGAAGCTAACCAACCTCCCAGTATGCCTCTGGACTGAGGGAGGAAGCTAAAGCACCCAGAGGTTTGTATGCAAACGCAGGGAGAAGTTACAATCTCCACACAGACAGCACCCCAGGTCTGGAATCACACCAAGAGCCCCAGCACTAGAAGGCAGCAATACCAACCACTGCATTATATATATATACAGTATAAAATCACAGAGAATGGGATTGCACATCGCTATAGAAACAATTCAATACAAACTCCTGGAATGAGAATCAAATAACTTGGCCGGACAGCTGGAAATAGAAAGGTGGCAGATCTCTCTGGCAGCGCTGGCACACAGCTCCATGGCACATTACCAGCTCCCTGATGTTTGCCAACCGTGCAGAAGCCATATACTGTAGCAGACCTGAGCGGGCTTTGAAACTTTCTGCACTTTTCTCTTAGTTTCTCATCAGCTGCAGGTTAGATGTCTTCTGCATCACTGGTTACCAGCCCTGGTCCTGAGGGACGAATGCATTTTCTGGTTTCTGCTCCAGCACAGAGGCCTTAATCACCTGATTGATTTCACTTTTCTACAGGTTATTACATTTGCTTTCAGCTCTCAAAAGCAAGGGGGTTTGTAATGGGTATCCACTCAGATTCCCAGATTTGGGTTCTCTGCCCAAAGTTGAACTGACATGCAATTGCAGGAGGAAATTATGTGTTGAGTCAGTGTCATTCCCACCTGTTTCTGCACATCATTACATGAATAACTATGAAGAGATGTTTAGTCAGAAAATAATGGTTACTTTAGCAAGTAACACAGACCTGCTAAAAGACTTGTTTGCTGTTCGAAACAGTTCCCTTGAGGTGGGATACCTTGGAAACTCGAGACTGAATGCATAAACAAGTAAACAAAAGGTCTGAACAGTTCAATTAACGTCATCAATGAGTACTAGATGAGCTCATCTGTAGCAAAAAAATAGTGGAAACCACTGTCTTACATGAACTTGATCAACAATCTAGGAACTAGCAATCAGTAATTAGGAACTTATTGCATGCAAATCAACTTCATTTGTACCTATTTATACATCTAGATATTAGTGGAACAATTTAGGGGAGGTTTCTCACTCAAGGATACAACATCAGTGTCTCAACTAGGGATTTGAACCCACAACCTTCCATTTATGAGTCCAGAATCCTGACCGCTGCTCCGGCAGGTCTGAATCCTGCCAGTTCATCGCTTGTATCAGATATTTTTGGGTAGGAGATGTACTCTTTTTTTCAACTTTTACAGAACAAAAATCTCCAAGGCTCCTGGTCACCTTTGGCTTTGTATAGTACATTAATGCCACTGATTATAAACATTCACCCAGCTCACTGTGCTTGTGAAAGGCATAGGGTGTGTCCTGTCTTCCCCAATGGCAATGCCCATTTTACAAATATGACCCTATTTAGCAGGTTTTTATGGCACGTAAAACCAATCAAACTCCCAGGAGCGCAGGAAAGGGTTCACTACCACAGTCAGAGATTTACAATGTTGTCGTCACTGCAGGGAGTCAACAGTGAGTGCAGTGAACGCAGGGCAAAAAGCTAAGGGCGGTTTCACGAAGTACCGAACACTATCATATTACCACCCAACCAGTCACGCTGACCGGTTTTAATTACAGGCTGAAGGATTGCCTGTCTGACACCATCGCAGTCGCTCCTTCCCTAAGAGTCTAGGGTGGCATATCAGCGCCGAGACAGTCCCCACTGATCGCTGCCTGCCTGAGAATCGTACTCCCCAGCCATATGACACCCAGAATTACTGGCTTTTCTTCTAGAGTCCACCCTTGCCGTGACAATATTCTAAAATGCCCAAGCTTTAGAAAAGACACCCTCTTGTTTTGTTTGGCAATATGACCAGATTTGCAGATCAAGCTTATGCTGCGATCTACGAATGCTCAACATCGGGCTCTCTTCCAACACATGCCACTCTCATGACACATATAACACATCCACTCCTCTTCCACAGAGAAGACACTGGTGCTGACCGGAGTATCACTCGATTTTCCACTACAATCTCTGAATATTTTGCCCTACGACAGACTGAGGAGTGTGCTTACTGGGAGGCATTCGTACAACGGGGAATCGTCTGTTACCTGATGCATTTTTGCTCGGAAGGTTTTTTTGAAACACTGAATGAGCATTCTTTAAAAAAAACTATGGTTTAAATTAAGAGGTGAACATTCTCAAGAGAGTGGAGCGAGGTTCAGCAGGCAAAAGAAAAAAAAATCTTACAATAAGGGAGAAATGATCACATTCAAACCACTGTGCATTGCTCTATTTCACACTGAAGGTGAGAGGAGTAAAATGTGCTGTGATTTGACTACAATTCCGTACTGATCAATGCACTGATTGTGATTGTGTGTACTGATCAATGAGAGTCCATGTGTTGCGTTAGAGACTACAGTATCTTTTGCGGACGCAGATGTAAAGTCTTTGCTGTGAACTGTGATCCAGTCTAACCATTTGACCCCAAATACACTCCTTATCTGGAAACATCCCTGAACTAACACTATCGTGCTCTGAACTTCTAGTCTTTGATCACTAAGACTAGTAAAGTAAACAGCATTTCAGATAGCCTACACCTTCAGCCACACAAAAATTAAGGAGTGGGGATACTGTCTAGAATGTGCGGGTTTCTCAGAGCCTCTTCCAGAATTCATTGATAACACTCAGGTTTCATCATGTACTGTATATTACTCAACTATAAAGTATTCCATTCAAACCAGGTATCCGAAATACCGCAGGCAGTGTGCTCAAAACTACTGTAGTTATGTGAATAATGCTCAAGGTTCCAGTGCATCATAAAAGAAAGACAAAAAGAACAGATTCGGGGAAACAGTCAAAGACAAAAACCGTGCACGACATATACCAGCTGTTTCTTAAAATATGACAAATGGGTACGGGAAAGAGGTATATTTAACTTTGTTACTATCTGTCCGTGTATATACACTAACGGGGGAAGATCTGTGCACTGTATTTATATTCTGTATGATCCTCCGGCGGCTCTATTCAATAATTAAATGACTACTTGTGGATCACAAATCTGCTAATTAGTCGTGTATGTATGCAGTCTGCACTGGCGTGCTTTCCCGGGTTTGCATGGATAAGTTACTATGCAAACTCGCTGGTTCACAGCTTGGAACACAGAAACGCGGGTGTCGCAATAGTTTCTGTGAATCATGTTGGAAGCACTCAGATGGGAGAAGCGTTAAATGGATAAACCAGATCACAGCTTGAAAGGGTGATATTCATTTGCTGTCCTGGGGGGTTCGGGCTTGACTGGATAGTAGTTCTCTCAAATAATAACAACGTCTTCCTCAAATATGGCAAGCTGGATGCGTGCGCCGTCTGATCCTGTCTTGGAAGGGAGGTGAAGATCTTCAGCTAAATGAGCCTGGAAAAGACACCGACCCGTATATTGGAAGCGAAATGAAACACTTACCCGCCCGTTGCACGTCGGTTCATCCTTTGTGCGCAACTCAAAGGATTCCTCATCCTCTTTCTCGCCATACTCCCGTCCCAATAACTTGAACCCCTGCCGACAGCACAAAAACCAGCCAACTCCTTGCAAAGGCATTCAAAAAGGGGTACCTCGGTTACTTCCACCAGTCCTTTCGGGCAGATAGCATCCACTGTCGCTCCTTGTGTGAGAGTCCAGACGCACCGGGAGAGACCGACGTCTTACATGTGAACCTGAATTCCACGGAAGTCCGATAATTGTACCATTCGCTTTCCCCAGCGTCTCCTTATAAAACCCCCTGTGCAGAAGGAGATGAAACGACGAAGGTGGACCGGGACAGCGGATTTCACGCCTTTTAAACTGTGACGCTATCACGCACAGAGTCGGTGAAAATGTATTATTTCTGCAGTTTCCTTTGGCAGCCGGCTCCTTCTTCGCCTGTCACAAATTTGCCCGAACACCTTGCCCGCGCAGTAAAGCGCAAACGAAATTAAATCCGTGCGTGCGGTAAGGTCCTGTTCCCTACTTCCTGGTGCCGCAAATAAGAGCAAGAGAAGCGAGCGACACTCCACCTTCAGACCACTGCACGCTGCCTTTAGGTGTGCGGTAGCTTCTGAGCGAACCAAGTCAGGGGGCAAAGGCGCACTGCCTGAACACAGGCTCCACCGCGCCGAGAGAGTACGCGCACGCTGGGAGGTACCGCCGGGCTGCCGGAGCCCAATGGCAGCTCACCGCCTGCCGGGGAGTGCACGCCCCGCATCGACCCCACCTCTGTCCCACAGAATGTTGCATCACATGCCCCCTGGCACACTGTCAAACTGCGGTGGAGGAGGGAAGGAGAGCGAGCCAGACGAAAGCACGACAGGCAAGTTCGCACTCCAGAGCTGTTTCTTAACCCTGCGTTGTACTCGCTGCAGGAGGACAACAACAACAACAACACACACTCACTCTTAGAGCTTTCAAAGCGACCCACACATTGTGATAAAGGCTGTCGCAGCGCCGGCTTAAGGTCGGGTGAGCTGCTATTCTGACAGTTTCCCAAACAGGGGGATCCAGCACGGAACATCTCCGGCAAAACTCTGGCCCGGGAGAGCAGTGCCTTTTCGCTACACCTGAAGCAGCGCTGGTTCGCCCTTGACATGCCCGTTAACATGATCACAACCAGCCCTTTCCTCTCCGTGCACAGCATGATGTAGAAACAGATGTAAAAAATACAGCTATAATATAAAAAGAGGATAAAGTCCCGGACCAAAATACCATAATCTTGCTTTTTCTTTTTTTGCCAAACACCAAAACATTGTTTTATAAAGCATTCCCTTCTACACTCTTGGGCTGAGTTTACAAAAATATTTTCATATAAGGTCTAAAAACTATTCGTGCCCAGATGTTATATTATGAACTTTGTATAAGAATACGCGGTTTACTAGAGGTCCTGACTCTCTGTGGTCATTAAAAATCCCAGGGGGTTTCTCGAAAAGAGTAGGGGTGTAACCCCGGCGTCCTGGCCAAATTTCCCATTGGCCCTTACCAATCATGGAGTGGAGTGTCCAGAAAAGCGCTATATAAGTGTAATTATTATTATTATTATTATTATTATTATTATTATTATTATTACTGTTTATTATTATTATTTACTGTATGCAGTGGTGGGGAAGGTTATTGTTACAGTGGCACAGTTACAGTGTCATGAGGTGAAGAGTGTTATTGAGATATACAGTACTGTATGTAGCTGCACAGTTATTGTGTAACGTCATACTTCACATCTTAAAAGCAGTTTCCACTAAACACCCACACAGATAACTAGTAACTGGACTGGATTATGTTTTTTTAAAATTAACTCTCCCTCAACATTAAATGTATTTCCAGGTTAATTATACGGTTACTAGACTATTCCGGTTTCGATAGTAGAAAAAAAATCATTATCTATAAATACCACTGCAATATCTATACATTTTTAAAAATGCACGTCAGTACGGAGCTTACGTACGTGGAATCTGTAACACAACGTATAAGCAAAGCCCCTGGTGGGAACATAGTCAAATCCATCAGCTCAAAGCGCTAGAAAACTTGGCATGCTACGGTTAGCTCGAAGAAACGAACCCCAGGCAGACCCCAGGGATTTCGGAGGAGCGCAGAAACCATGGAACTACGGGCCGCAGTGAACGCTAAACTCTAGCGCGCAAAATAAAGGCTAAACCCCGGTTGTGAGGTTCTGCCGGTCGTGGTTTGCGTGGTTTTCCCGTGAAATGAGAGCTGCACAGGATGTGGCTGACATGTGGGGTTTTCAAGGAAAGTTTAGGAAGGTGGACTGCAGCCCCAACTCATAATCGTTTAGGAAACAGTCATTTCCTACATAAATAAATAAAAACGATAAATACTAGACGTATGGCTTTTCTCCTTCACATTCATCTTTTTCAGCCTGCCTCTCCGCCTCCCTCTGTCCCTCTCCCCCTTAATTAACTCTTCACCTACAGGATCCTTGGTCTACCGCCAGGGGGCTGGCCTCCCGTCAAGAGGGGCGCGATAAACCTCACAATGACAGCGCTCAGTCCACCTTTTCAATGCTGTTCACTTCGTTCTTGGGTGTTGTTATTCGCCGTGAATTGGAAGTAAAATGCAGGGCTTGCCTTGCCTCTCACTGTTGCCACCCAGGTGAGGTGAATTCCTTCGGCTGTGTGTGCGGGACTGTCACAGTGATGTACCAGTCAGGCTCGGTGACGTTCCTGCTTATCTGCTCTCCTGTCCAGGCACGTCTGCTCCGCTTCTTTCTTCAGATGAGAAAAGTGTCAAAGGCGTCGGCACCAATTGCGGTGTCTCTGCGTGTGGCGACAGAAAATAAATCAGGCTAGCGATCTGTGGAGACGGTTGGTCTTGTCTTTCAACAAAGGACAACCGAAAGCACAAAATTCAATTCAAGTTACAGGGACTTGATCTCAACACTAAGCTTAAATCTTAGAATAGTGGTTGCAAATGCGGTTTGTGAATATTAAATTATTGATGCATTGCTATAAACCAGTCTATTACGGGACACACATAAATGCATGCATACAAGGGGGAGTGGTCATTATTTTAGATATCCCGGTTAATCTAGGCTGCATTTCAAAAGCCGATCACCCAGCCGAAACCCACACGTCCACGGGTGGAACATGCAAACTCCCCACGGAAGTTACTCCAGGCCAGAGGGAAACTGTCTAGTTGCAATGTCACTGCCACACCGTCCTATACGTTTTTAGAAGAGTAATAAAAATACAGTTAATCTAACTGATACTAACTTCGAAATAAGTATACGGTTGAGGCTGACTGGCGGATCCTTTTCAGAAAGGGACAGAATTCTTAGAATATTAAGACAATAGCAATGAAGCAATCAAGATGGGCTGAATGGCCTCTTTTTGTCCGTACCCTTGGTTATGTTCTTAATATAAAGGCTGCATTAGTTCTTCACATAGTTCCGATTCCATTTCCCTTCCTAAATATTCGTAAAAGCCTGTAATTTTTTCAACTTTAAGCCCCCAAATTCATGAAAGACCTATGGTTGTGGAACTTGACGCACTGCTGCGAAGCAGACATGGGCGTGGGGGAGATCTGAACTGCGTGCACCTGTCCTCTGAAAGGCTTTCAGCTTCCTCGTGCTCTGGCAGTGCCAAGTGTGTGGCTCGTCCGTGGCTGGACGTGGCAAGTCACAGAGGTCGCACCTCAGGCCCGAACAGGAGAGGAAACCTGATGAGCCAAGAGACGGGTCGGGTCACTCGGCGGATTTGCAACACCCTTCAAGTTCCAGAGGGCTATGCCAGGGTGACAGGCTCACACTGGAGGTGCCCTGATACAGAAGCTCCTGCAGCAGGGAAGGGCACTGGCTGGAGGACGCTTGCAGGTCTCATAGACAGCACTGCCAGCTCCCTCATGGGTGGCTCTCAGGTGTGGTGCATACTGGACCAGACCCACTCAAGCTTGTTAGCATTCACAGTAGCTCTCTGCTTCTTGGGAATTGTGGGAGCCCCAGTCACTAACAGCTCATGACAGACCACAGAACTGAACCGGCAGCCTCTGGACCAACAGGGACCAGCCTGATCGGTTTAAGCCAAACTTAAAAAAACAACCTGCTCGTGCCACTGAGGAGTTCTCCTTCTTTAAGTGTTCGGCCTACAGGAAGAATTGCTCTTTGAAGCAATGAATCAGACAGCTTCAATTTTCCCTTCGGGACTCGTTCTTTTGTTTTGATGGGCAGCATCTCAAAGGCTCCGCTGAATGAGTTCTTTTACAGCCGGGAACAGTATGAGCACAGTCGAGGAGGAGTGGTGGGGGAAATGCAGGAGGAAAGTCTGCTGAGCTGGTCAGCTGTGGATACAGGACTCTCTTCAGAGCCACTTTAAATTTCAAGCATTTGCATTATGTTTATGAACAATCGAGCAATAACCCCCCTAAAAAAGGTTTCACAATGATAAATGGCCCGTGCCTTGATGTGGCGACTGAGTTGAGAGTGTGTATTTCTGTTACAAAGTGCTTATCATGCCTCGGCTCTAACCCCAATCCCCTCATTTGTAACCCTTTACCACAAGTCTCCTGCTCTGACAGAGACCTGTCTGTTCTTGCCTTTGTCTCTGGATCTCACGGATTTGTTTTTTCTCCTCTCAACCAGCTCAGTCTCTTTTTAACCAGGTGAATCACAGGGGAACGGGAATGGTAAGGAACTGTATTAGACAGACCACTGGGATTGTCTCATACTCCGCAGTTGAGAGCTGGGTTTACTCTACGTTTTGTTTCGGTGGCTCAGCGTATTTAGTTGTTTTTTTCCCCCTTCAGTGTTTTATTAAAGCCAGGCTGTGTTAAACCGAGCTGGGATTTGTAGTTACAAAATTGCAGGTTTTGTAATCAAATAATTGCCCATATGTCCCAGAGAGCTCCACTACTGCTTACAGCAGTGGTCACCTTGCTGTGTGGGTCAAACACAAGCAGGACCGGGGGCGGAGGAGTTTGTATACACCAGGAAACAGCTCTGTGTTTTCCATGTCTATTGGCAATCTTTTTCTTCTGCCGGGAATCGCTGTTTTGTCATGAGAACCGGAACGTCAGTGCAGAATGTGAAACTTTTCCATCCACTGAAATGTTACTGATTTAAGCACTGGAGTTAGGATAAAAGTCGTATACCAACCTATAATGTGAGTTGATGAATTAAAATCCACACTATCTAGACCACAGGTTCAAATCCAGGATATGCCATTTGCTGCAGCAGATAGGGGTCCCCAGAGAGATTGCTAAAACCCACTACACACTGCAAGATGCGATTCATTGACACTGACAGCAAAGGAAACGTGAAGCAGTAACATCACAAAATATGAAACGTTTGAACATCGCATGCCATTTGAAATTAATCAGTCCTTCCTTTAAAAATGTATCTCAAGGCATCATACAAAAGTGACTGAAAAACTGTAATTTGCCCTGGGTGTTGATGTTCAAAGTAGGGAGCTGCGTCAGCATGCGTAGGCTGCAAAGGAACAGGTAAAGGTTTATTCCGTGCTGAAAGGAAAAGAAACATGACGTTTGGGCTGTGGAGCCTTCTTCAGGTGTGTCTAAAGAGAAATGTTGTGTATCTTTTCTTTTCAGCACAGAATAAACCTGCTCATGTGTGACAATGAGACTTTTATCTATCCCCATGCCACTGAGTTCAACAGTAACTTTTTAAAGTAAAATGTTTAATTTCACAGCCAACATATTCCCTTTAC